ACAAATTGGGCTTTATTATCTTTCCAAAGAATATCAGCACTAATCACACTGTGCAGGTGACACTTGCTGGTCATGTCATCCAGAATGATCACTACTCTTTTTGCCTGCTGTTGTATCACTGTGATGCCTCATTTACAAATGGGAAAATTGTAGGGCTGAAAACAATATGCTTCTGGTTTTTTGGTACAATGAAAGCCAAGTGGTGGTCAGGATGATGTCTGAGAGAACTTGTGCTTGTGACTTTAATGTGCAGTTGTAACTGATTTCTAAGCATCTTGAGGTCCAAGCTTGAGCTCAAATAATTCACTGGTATAGGGAGAAAATGTGCCTCGGTGGAAATGGATACATTGTCTTTAGCACACCCTTCTGGTAGTTATCCGATTTATGAAAGCTATTTGATAATTCTTTAAATTGTAGGTGAATGATAGCAGTGCAGAATAATCTTTAGCTATAGACAGACAAATTCTGTTCCATCCTATAGAATCTTAGTTGACTGCCCTGACCCCAGGTAGTTTTGCCTGCATTTGTACATTCATTTCTACGTTCTTTTAATCTGTATAAAGTGGTGCTCTTTGAACTTCTCTTTGACTGGTCACAATATTTGTCAGGTTCCCTTGTTATAAGTAAAATCTTTAACCCATATCCTTTTTATGCCTGTATGAGAATCATGGTTTTGTCTTTTTTTTTTTTTTTGAGATGGAGTTTACTCTTGTTACCCAGGCTGGAGTGCAATGGCACGATCTCGGCTCACCGCAACCTCCGCCTCCTGGGTTCAGGCAATTCTCCTGCTTAAGCCTCCTGAGTAGCTGGGATTACAGGCACGCGCCACCATGCCCAGCTAATTTTTTTGTATTTTTAGTAGAGACAGGGTTTCACCATGTTGACCAGGATGGTCTCGATCTCTTGACCTCGTAATCCACCCGTCTTGGCCTCCCAAAGTGCTGGGATTACAGGCTTGAGCCACTGCGCCCAGCCGGTTTTGTCTTTTTTCAAAAATTATCTTTCAGCTTTGCATTATTATTGTTGCTGCTTCTGTCGCTATGACTGCCGCTGCAATTGCTTCCTGTTTCTACCATGACTAATATTTTTTGAGCAGTGTCAGAGCTCAACTTCCCATGTAGCCCTAACAAGAAGAAAAGAGCAATTTGATGCATTAGAAAAGCAATACTTCAGGCCAGGTGTGGTGGCTTACACCTGTAATCCCAACACTTTGGGAGGCCAAAGCAGGTGGATCACGAAGTCAGGAGTTTGAGACCAGCCTGACCAACATGGTAAAACCCCGTCTCTACTAAAAATACAAAAATTAGCCAGGCGTGGTGGCGTGTACCTGTAATCCCACCTACTCAGGAGGCTGAGGCAGGAGAATCACTTCAACCCAGGAGGTGGGGTTGCAGTAAGCCAAGATCGTGCCACTGCACTCCAGACTGGGTGACAGAGTGAGACTCTGTCTCAAACAAAACAAAACAAAAACACTTCAGATAACTTAATGAACATATATCTCACCCAGTGAAGTGAACATGAAATTCCGTGCCCACGCAAGATTTTTTTTTTCTAATACATTCCCAATTTGTAGGATAACCTGGTGGTAGCTTCACTTTGATAATCCATGACAGAGCATCGCAGAAACAACCAAACGGAACAAAACAATACAACCTGCTGAACATATCCCGTTACTTTTCCTGTCCACCCAGAGACATGCAGTACCTTCTTATTCAAACTCATTTCTAAGGCTGTTCTATTCTCCGTTACTCTGTTCTTACTTTTTAACTGCTAATGTTCACTCTTCTCTATGTGTTTTATTTTCCTTCTTTCAGTTATTGCTAATAGTCATTCTATTGACATGGTTTCCATTTAATTTTTATGACAGAGATGGATAGCTTCACTTTGCATTTTGTGCAGAAAGAGTGGACAGCAAGGGCAAAATACATTTTGTTGCCTGCCTCTAGGAAATGTCAACTCCTAAGCCAGTTTGCTCTCAATGAATTATTGCCTCTTCATCCTCTCCTTCTCTTCAAAAATATTCAGCACCATTTCAGAATGTTATATCCTGAGTTGTTAAACCTTTACCAGTATTTTCACATTCAAATAATGCTAAATAGCATATTTGCCAGCAGAATTTAAATTGAATCTGAACCATTACTTTTACTTAAGGGCAAAAACAGCTCAGTGGCATAGACCTCTGTCTGAAATAGTTTTAATCAGCTGCTAAAATCAGAATTGCCATTTAAATTGATAGCATTTTCAAGAAAAAAATGGTTTCAGAGTCCCTTTCCAAACTCTCTGCTGGCTTAAATATGTGTTGATTGCTGTAATTGTATCTATGCCATCCTTATTTGATACTTCTATGGTATAATCCTATTTTCTTAACTCCCGGATTACTTAGCAATGAATTACATACTGAATAGTAACATATATTGGTAGAAAACCCAATATTTGATTACATTACTTTCTTTGACTCCTAATTTCTAAGACATTCAGCATATTCTAGACAGATTTTTGTCATGCTGTAGTCATTTTACATAAAGAGATGACCCCTCCCAAAAAAAAAAATCAGTTCTGTAGATAGGAGAATTTCAATATCATGAAGGTTTCCTGAAAGTCCTCCGGACTAGATTTAACTAGTTTTAATGGGCCTCTATTAATAGCAAAGTGAGTTTATTGTTTTTACTAAGACTATAGATTACGAATTTGTTTGCTTCTCATTTTCTCTCTCTTTTCCTTTTTTATTTTTCTTCTGTCACCCACGCTGGAGTGCAGTGGCACAATCTTGACTCACTGCAGTCTCCCAACTCCAAGGCTCAAGCGATCCTCCCGAGTAACGGGGGCTACAGGCAAGTGTCATCTCGCTTGGCTAATTTTTTGTACTTTGGGTAGAGACAGGGTTTCACCATGTTGTCCAGGCTGGTCTCAAACTCTTGAACTCAAGCAATCTGCCCACCTTAGCGTCCCAAACTTTTGGAATTACAGGTGTGAACCATCGCACCTGGCCTCATTTTCCCTTCTATATATGAAGTTTTCCCTTCTTTATGTTACATCCTTGGAAAAATAAAATTTACTTCATTGCTTTTCAACTTTTAAAAGAGTGTTTATTTCCTTTTATATATACATTCAAACAGTACTGACAGTTTCAACTGTGAACTTTGGGATATGATACTGTGCCAGGTTTGACCTAATACTTGTTTCAGAATGAATAAATTACTATCCCATTTTTAGCTTTAGGAGAATAATTGTTTAAAAGAAATTCCTGCATACTCTTCTAGAAGTCAAAAATTCTAATTCAGAGTTCAGCCTCTGTCATTTCCTCTGTGTCCTTGATAGTTAAGTCATTTATCTCTTTGCCCCTCAATTTTATCACCTGTAAAATGGGACTGATAAAAAGTAAGAGGGCTGCATTGAGAGTGATATTCAAGTGTGAATATACTTTGCCCTGAGATATAATAAAAACCACCAGTGCAGGTTTGTGTAAAGCTGATTTCACAAACTGAAGCAAGTGAGGAGTCTACCATCAGAGCCCATGCACAAAGATTTCCTGAAAAGAGATGTATAAGCAGGGTTTCCAGCCCTACTTGGGCATCTAAAGAGGTGCTTAGAATGTTGGCTCAAGATACAGTATCTAAACCTGACATGAAAGCTCTATAAGAAATTAGTCAGACCTGGTGCAGTGGTGCATGCCTGTAATGCCAGCTCTTTGAGAAGTCGAGATGGAGGATTGCTTGAGGTCAAGAGTTCCAGACCAACCTGGGCATCATAGCAAGCTCCCATCTCTCTCTCTATATATATATATATGTTTTTAATTAGCCAGGTGTTGTTGTGTATACCTATAGTCTCAGCTACTAGGGAAGCTGAGGTGGGAGGAACGCTTGAGCTCAGAAGTTTGAGGCTGCAGTGAGCTCTCTGATTGTGCCACTTGCACTCCAGTACCTTGGAGCAAGACTCCATCTCCTAAAATAAAAGGAATTAGCTGGATTTTAGAGTTGACTAGAAAAAGAGGGTGTGCAATACAGATAATTAGGAACTACCTATAGGTTTTCCATCTTGGAAATAACTTTAGTAAACCTATGGTGTTTTTTTACTCTAGCATAATCTGTTGCTTGTAAGTCCAAAATCAGGCTCTATTTTCCTGGCTTGAGCTTATGCAGAAGACCACTCCAATTCCTCAATATCATGACTAGGAAAGGAGGTCTGAGCACTGTGACTATTGGGACGCATATATAGAAGCCAGGGGCTCCTTTGTCCTTGCCTGTGCTTTTAAGCTAAGCTATTGCAGAACAGTGCTTGAGAGATGTGTGTAATGAGAAGTAAATACAAACAAGCATCCAACAGCTTGTCCACTGTGATCCTGTGTTGATTGCTCAGTCTTCACCTTTTTATTTTCCTTATTTCTCTTCACTCTTAGGTTTTTGAGGCAGTATTCACAGTGAGTCACATTATAACATGCAAAGTTTAATTGGATAAAGTATTTCATCTTTTTCAGATCTGTCACTGGTGGAAGTGGAGATAAAAAAGACCCAAAAGAGTAATTTACTTTTACTCTCGGAATCAGATTCTAAATGTAGAAATTAATGAGACGTTTACATAGTTCTGAAATGAAGCTACAGAAGAAAAATGCAAAAATGACTTTTTACAACCTCAACTGCATCCACCTCCTTTCTTGTCTCTCCTCTTTCCCTGTCTGTCTTTTCCCTTTCCCCCTTCTAGTGATTTTTATAATGTACCTGGGAGTTAAAATCCAGCTCTGCTCCAGGAGTAATAAACTTTTTTAATCAAAAATTGATCACTATTGGTGATAGTCAAAGCCAGAAATCATGGATTTGCCCTTTCTTGGTTCTGTTGAGTCTGTTTCAAAAGGCATAACTACTTTTGTCAGTGGAGCTGGCAGGTGTAAGTAGGAGACTCACATAGAGAAGATCTGTTCAGAGAAAATCAGTTTTCAAGTAAGAATTGCCCACTATAATTAAGATCTGTGCACTTTCAAATATCTCAGCCCAGCTCACCTGTTAAATCCAACTAGAAGTGTTCTCATTGTTTCATGTTTTAGTTTCATTTATTTGAGGAATAGAAAGGCCAGGATGTGGATGTCATCTTCTTATCCAGCTTGTCAAACATGCCACCTTGGGGAGAATTATGGAGCCATTTGACTTCTGCAAACGGAAAACATGAAAGCTGAAATAACACTCTCGCTGCCAGAACATGTGCTGAATAGGCATGGGTGTGGATGGAAAGCTCTCCTGTATCCCAAGGGCCTTCCATGTCAAATATAACTAAGTCAAAGGCAGTGGAACATAAAGTTCCATGCTGTACCTGGTATTTGACAAATGGGTGGACATAAGCATAAATCAGATTAGTTAGTCTCATGGAATACTGAACAGGTAAAAAAGTGGCAGTTTTCTTTTCAACGTGATGTAGAAGAACCGAGCTCCAGTAACCAATGGCTATGCATGAGGCTCCCTTTAAGCAGGATTATTTTAGCCACTATTATAACTGCGAAAAGCACAAATTTTAAAATCGTGATTTGTTTTGCAAAAGGGTAGCATGCCTCAATTAAAAGAAGTATTTATACATTTTCTTAAGTTACAACCTCTTTTAATGAGATTGCAATCATTTTACTTTAATTGGTGGGTTTTTTTCTATTTTAACAGTGTACTCACAATTTTTCAGAAGTGGACCTTATGCATTAACTATATACATGTATATAAAATAAATGGGATGCAGGTAGAAATGGAAAATGGCAGATGAAGGCCGACATTTTCTCCAGTCTCCTTAAGTCCTGTCATTCTTTTCTTTTCTTTTCTTTTTTGTTTTTGAGGCAGAGTTTTGCTGTTGTTACCCAGACTGCAGTGCAGTGGCACAATCTTGGCTCACTGCAACCTCCACCTTCTGGGTTCAAGCAATTCTCCTGCCTCAGCCTCCCAAATAGCTGGGACTACAGGCGCGCACCACCATACCCAGCTAATTTTTCTATTTTTAGTAGAGACGGGTTTTCATTATGTTGACCAGGATGGTCTTGATCTCTTGACCTCGTGATCCACCCACCTCGGCCTCCCAAAGTGCTGGGATTATAGGCGTGAGCCACTGCGCCCGGCCCCGTCATTCTTACTTACAAACGTTTGATCCCCATTTGCCCTTGTGATTTACACTATCATACATCATGACAAAAGTAGCAGCATTCATTCTGAAGAAAGAAAAATTTGACCAGGCATGGTGGCTCACGCCTGTAACCCCAGCACTTTGGGAGGCTGAGGTGGGCAGATCATTTGGTCAGGAATTCAAGAACTGTCTGGCCAACGTGGTGAAACCCTGTCTCTACTAAAAATATAAAAATTAGCCAGATGCAGTGGCACACACTGGTAATCCCAGCTACTCTGGAGGCTGAGACAGGAGAATCACTTGAACCTGGGAGGCGAAGGTTGCAGTGAGCCGAGATCGCATCACTGCATTCCAACCTGGGCAACAGAGCAAGACTCCATCTCCAAAAGAGAAAAATTTGATGAGACAGGCAGATAAGGAGGTCAGGAGTTCGAGACTATCCTGGCCAACATGGTGAAACCCCCGTCTCTACTAAAATACAAAAAATTAGCTGGGTGTGGTGGCAGGTGCCTGTAGTCCCAGCTATTTGGGAAGCTGAGACAGGATAATCACTTGAACCCGGGAAGCGGAGGTTGCAGTGAGCCAAGATCAAACCACTGCACTCCAGCCTGGCCACAGTGAGACTCCATCTCAAAACACACACACACACACACACACACACACACACACACACACACACACACAGAGACAGAATAATTTGAAATAGCAGTAGACTTCCACATCTGTAAGAAGGACTTGTTTTTAGAATTGGGTAAATGTTTGCTTTGCTCAGATCATGACTGGATCAGGTGAGTGAGGAGAGTAACAGCCTCCTCTTGCTACTTGCTTCTGAGAGGTCATCTAAAAAGGAAAGCTTCATACTACCCCAGAGGTGTTTTCATTGCAAAAGGAATGTCTGTAAGGTGGCCCTTGTTTTGACCTGTTCAAAACTGACCTTTAACATTAACAGCAACATGAATCTGGCTGAATTAAGAAAACATGGGTACATAAAGAGAAATTCTACTTTGGAATGGGTTATATAAATGAAGGGGTACAGTGCCTTCCTCTTGCTGCAACCAGAAAGCCCTATGCAAGAAGGAAGAGAGGATGGGGATCGGAAAGTGGAAAGACTAGTGAGAAAATTGCATAATGAGTGGGCCTGAAAGTGTCAAAAGTGCCTTGCTGAATGGAAACAAGGAACAGACCCTGCTTGAAGATGGGTAGTAGAGAAAAGGAGTGAGAGTTAAATTCCTGTACATCAAGGTTACTTCTGTTAGCAGACTCGACAGAATCAGGGTACTGCCAAAGGAGATGGGCAGCCTCTAGGGGAGTTTTGGGGAAGGCACTTGCAATATTCTTTTCTTTGAGATGGAGTCTTGCACTGTCACCCAGGCTGGAGTGCAGTGGTGCAATCTCGGCTCACTGAGACCACCGCCTCCTGGATTCAACTGATTCTCCCACCTCAGCCTCCTGAGTAGCTGAGATTACAGGTGTACACCACCACACTCTGCTAATTTTTTTTTTTTTTTTTTTTAGTAGAGGCAGGGTTTCACTATGTTGGTCAGGCTGGTCTCGAACTTCTAACCTTGTGATCTGCTCACCTCAGCCTCCCAAAGTGCTGGGATTAAAGGTGCGAGCCGCCATGCCCGGCTGGCACTTGCAGTATTCTAACACCATTTAAATTAAAGGCAAAAAGGCCCCCCTAGGGAAGTCTGATCCTTGTCTCATCAGTACCAGATTATGTATTATGCAATAGCCTCCACCACTTTGCTTAACATACTATGGTTTTAAGTGATGGGACTTCTACCTTTTCCCCCCCGGGAGGTTATTACAAATTCTGAAGATATTTCAATGTTACAATTGTGTTAAGAAGGCACATTTTGAGACCTGATTTTTTATTTATTGTAGAGCATTACAACCATTTATAGTGCTATATGAGTGTTAAATATTAATGCATTTTTTTCTGTTCTACCAATTCCCAGGCATCATGCAAGTGTATAATTCTGGAAAGGTAGGCAAAAGCTTTCTAGGAGCTGTCCCACACTGGCCTTAAAAGGTGACCTTCTTGCAGAATTCTTAAAAAAAAAAAAAAAGATTTTTTTACTCACTTTTTGGCCCAGTAGCTCCCTAGATACAGGATTCTCTCCAGAAGAAGGCAGATTTTCTTAGGCACTAAGAAGTCCAACTGAGAGACTGGTGTAATTCTCAACCCTCTAATTCCAACCATTGTTAAGCGTTCTACTTTAGCCATAGATGATATATTTTTCATCCACCAGCCTTCTTATCAGCTGAGAGATGAATGCTGTCCTTTTCCTGGTTACACATCTGAAAAAAACAATAATTTTACATCCACCACCATTTTAGAACTTGGAAGTAAGCGGCTAGATTCCTTTGCTCCCCAGGTGAAAGTGAGTATGGTGTGATTCTTAATTTATAGAATAAAGGTGCTGTCCAAATTTGTCAGGTAAGATAGAGATCAGCATCTGCCTTTCCCACTACTTCTTTTGATGGCTTAATTGGACACAATACAGAAAAGTCATAGGGCACAGAAAGAAATGGCAGATTGATAGCTTGCCATATTCTTCTGTAATATAGTGAGAGAGAAGAAGATGAGTCTGGTGAAATGGCCTTTACTATAACAGGATCAGTATATTTCTGTTTTTATCACTTTTTGTTAAAGTTGGCCCTGAGGGAATTCACCTTGGATAAATTCAGAAAAGCAAAGAAAAATCTTCCTATAGCGTAAGTGAGCAAGTGATTTTATGATATAATAATTATTATCTTAATTAAAATAGTGTTAAGAAAGTAGATAGCACTTGAAAAAGACTGAGTTGTTATTTGAAGGAGCTCCAGAATGATGTTGGAATAGTTTATTACTAGGTTTTCTGCAGATAATAATTATACATTCTGAGGAGGAAGAAAATATGTTTGAAGGCATTGGAGACAGATCAACAACAGACAGAAACCGAAAGGGATTTAACCCATGAAAGAGGAGAACCACTGCAGGGGGAACTATGTTTATACAGTTTCTCCCCTGAGGGCACTCCCGGGTCCATAAGGCATTGGGTGGCTGTGTGTCAAGAAGAGAGCTGCAGCATACAACATGTCCATGGGTAGAACTTAGGGCTTCCAAAGTGGCTAGAGATTGTGGAGAAGTTCCAAGAATGAAGAAACCTTGGAAGTTAAAACCTCAAAATCTGCGATTCCCGAATTCTAAGGAGCAGCAGATAGAAACTGCTGTTATGACTGAAAGAGCTGAGAAAGGATTTCAGTTTCTGGTAACTGCAGGAAAACAGACTTTGGAGTTTGAATTTTGCCATTTTAGAGTAGTTTAGTAAGTACCCAAGCCTTCCATTAAAACACACCTTACAAATAAAGACTATATACCAGAATAAAGGAATTTTCCAGAAGCCTAAGTGAAAATCCAAAGAAAGTGTGAAGCTAAGCCTCTATACGTTCCAGTTTATCAGCCAGTAATTTTCTCTTCTTTTCTCTTCCCTTCTCTTCTCTTCTCTTCTCTTCTCTTCTCTTCTCTTCTCTTCTCTTCTCTTTTCTCTTCTCTTCTTTCTTTTCTTTTTCTTTCTTTCTTTCTTTCTTTCTTTCTTTCTTTCTTTCTCTTTCTTTCTTTCTTTCTTTCTTTCTTTCTTTCTTTCTTTCTTTTTCTTTCTTTCTTTCTTTCTTTCTTTCTTTCTTTCTTTCTTTCTTTCTTTCTTTCTTTCTTTCTTTCTTTCTTTCTTTCTTTCTTTCTTTCGACAGAGTTTTGCTCTGTCGCCCAGGCTGGAGTGCAATGGCACGCTTGGCTCACTGCAACCTCTGCCTCCTGGGTTTAAGAAATTCTCCTGCCTCAGCCTCCTGAGTAACTTGGATTATAGGTGCCTGCCACCATGCCCCGCTAATTGTTTTCTTTTTAGTAAAGATAGGGTTTCACCATGTTGGCCAGGCTGGTCTTGAACTCCTGACCTCAAGTGATCTGCCCGCCTTGGCCTCCCAAAGTGCTGGGATTACAAGTGTGAGGCACTCGGCCAGTGATTTTGTAAAAGCCTATTAGGAGTGAAAAAACTCTTCAGAAGAAGAAAAGATCCAGTTCCTTGCAACATCATCAGTAATGTTTGACAAACAATCAAAAATTACTAGTCATACAGAGAAAGTGGAAAGTGTTACCCATTGTCAAGGAGAAAAGTAACCAAGAAAAACCAGCCTGAAGATGGCCCAGTTGACAGAGCTAACAGCAAAGACTCAAAGCAACTGCTGTAAATATGTTTAAGGGCTTGAAGGAAAAGATGAGAGAATAGCCGCGGGTCACAGAAGAGAAATGACAACTACCATGAAAAGAGCAGAACAGAAATTCCAGGAGTGAAAACATACTGTCTAAAATGAAAATATTTATCAAATGGGCAGAATGGAGACTGTAAGGAAAGGTCATTACACTTGAAGATAGACGAATAGAAATTATCCAATCTGAGGAACAAAGGGAAAAAATAAGTCTCAAAAAATAAACAGAGCTTTCGTGACCTGTGAGAATATATGAAGCAGTTTACAGTCTGGGTACATAGAGTACCAGAAAGGAAAGAGGGAGAGATGGGGTATACAAAAGTCATGCACGCACGCACGCACGCACGCATGCACGCATATGGTTGTATATGTATTCTTAAGAATCATCTCGGCCAGGCGTGGTGGCTACAGCCTTAATCCCAGCACTTTGGGAGGCGGAGGCGGGTGGATCACGAGGTCAAGAGATCGAGACCATCCTGGTCAACATGGTGAAACCCCGTCTCTACTAAAAATACAAAAAAATTAGCTGCATGGTGGTGCATGCCTGTAATCCCAGCTACTCAGGAGGCTGAGGCAGGAGAATAGCCTGAACCCAGGAGGCGGAGGTTGCGATGAGCTGAGGCTGTGCCTTTGCACTCCAGCCTGGGTAACAAGAGCAAAACTCCTACTCAAAAAAAAAAAAAAAAGAATCATCTCCATATTAGATAAGTCATGTCTAAAATGAATTAGGAAAATAATGAATACTGGGTTTTTCTAGCAGTCTGATCATGATATGCTTTGTTTGGTTTCCTTTATATCTAGCCTACTTGGGATTTGCTGAGCTTCTTAAGTATGTAAGTTTTTTAAACCAAATTTGGTGATTTTTAGCATGTATTTTTTATATGTGTGTTTGTGTATATATTTGCTTTACATGTGTATGTGTATATATAGGTTATACATAAATGCATATACATGCTATATGTACGTATATATCATGTATGTGCTAAAAGTTCCCAAATTTGTTTTTTAAAAACTTATGCATTTAATATAGATATAAAGGAACCCACATCTAGCCATATCATAATCAAGCTCCTGGTATTCATTGTTTCAAAATTTACTTTAAATATGATGGTATTCATAGTATTCATTGTTTCAAAATTCATTTTAGATATGACTGTTACCTAATATGAGTTTGATTATTAACTTTTTTCTTTTCTTTTTTTGAGATGGAGTCTCACTCTGTCTCCAGGCTGGAATGCAGTGGCGTGATCTCTGCTCACTGCAACCTCTGCCTCCCAGGTTCATGTGATTCTCCTGCCTCAGCCTCCCAAATAGCTGAGACTACAGGCACATGCCATCACTCCTGGCCTTGATTATTAACTTTTAATTGTTACATCATGATCACCAGTAGAACACAAGCATGTGGCAGGAGCATACTAGATCTGTGAAGAGATAGACAAGGATTGGGTCCTGTGTCTTATGCTTAATGCCTGAACCCTTGGGAAAAGGGACTCTATGTCACATATTCATCGTCTATAAGATGGCCAATAACCATAGGGCTGTTGTGAAAGCATAAATGAAATAATATTACATGAACAGACTTCACGTGCTGGTTTGCACATAGGTGGCATTCTGTAGACATTCACTTCCTTCCCTCTTTCCATACTTTTCTTCAAGGCATTTAGAGTGCTTTTGAGCATAAATAATTCCGGGTTTTCTGTGTAGCATAAGACATAAGGATATATTTTATAAGAGAAAAAATATGCTTTGTAATTTTAAATCAAAGGCCTGTGATAACTTCAACTTGGTTTATAACATGTTTCATGTAATGTTTCTACTCACAAGTCTTTGGAGGACATGCATGGCAATCATAGAACTCTGACAATACATGATTTGCTTGCCCTATTTTTGTTTTTTAGGTGGAGTTTTACTCTTGTTGCCCCAGTCAGAGTACAGTGGTGCAAACTCAGCTCACTTCAAGCTCCACCTCCTGGGTTCAAGTGATTCTCCTGCCTCAGCCCCCTGAGTAGCTGGGACTACAGGTGCATGCCACCATGCCTGGCTAATTTTGTATTTTTAGTAAAGATGGGGTTTCACCACGTTGGTCAGGCTGGTCTTGAACTCCTGATCTCAGGTGATCTGCTCGCCTCAGCCTCCCAAAGTGCTGGGTTTACAGGAGTGAGTCACCACGCCCCACCTGCTTGTCCTATATTTTTCAACAACTTAATGAGAAGGCAGTTCATGTTTAATGTTTTCATCATATTCCTGTGTTCATGAGGTTTCAAGATTGAAATCTGCTGTGAAGTATATAAGTATGTGTCTATAAAGATAAAATTTAGTTTCTTACCCTTTACTACCACACAAATGATGGTGATAAATGGTAACTTTGACAATTAAGAATGGTAATCACTATTTAATTTCTGAGAAGTTAAGTCTGTTTAGCTCCGTCGAAAGTTTTGCAAAGGAATCAGAAATGCTTTAGACATCTGTTAGCAGTTTGCTTGTGAGTTAGTAAATAAGCTGTGTCCCTGGGAGAAATATGTAAAAAATATAAACTAATCTCTCTCACCTTTAAGATGCCATGCTGTCTTTCTAAAATCTGACTTTCTGATTATTGAGATACTTCAGTAGGATGTCCTTGTCTTTATGGTTCCCTTTTATAATTGACTAAAATATGTCAGCCTATTAAATATGTGCTCTAAGTTCTGGGATACATAATGTGTATTTTTAATTTCCATTGACCTAGGAATTGATAAAAGCCATCCCTAAATTTACAATTTTTTAACAACCGGCCTTTCTTTAAAATATTTCATGGGCTTTCTTGTTAATTATCAACCTACTTAGGAATACCAAGTTAGGTGTGACCTTTACAAGTTGCTATTAAAGCTCTGGCCAACTTAAAGGTAACAAGTATTACGCTGCCCCGCTAGAAAATTTCCCACAATTTCTATGGTTCACGTGATTTAGGCTTCAGTTTTGCTGTTGCTGCTCTTCTGTGTTAAGTTCTTCAATTCAGTGTTTTGTAGTAAAATCAGCACAGATGGCAACATATGTAGGAACTTAAATCTTTACCA